CCACCACCCTCCGGAGCCCGAGCTTCGCGGTTCCCCCTGAGAAAAAACAACGCACACGTGCTATCTATATGTAATCCTGCCTCATCGTTCGTTTCGCATATGAATTCAGGCCATCCAAGCAAAACCCGTAACGACCCCACCCCCCGCCGTCTCCTGCAAAAAACTACGCTGCGGTGCACATGCGTTGATCAAGTGCTTTTGCTGAGAACCATTTGCAAAACATTCATCGCGAGGGACACGCGCGCCCCGCAGCGCGCGCACGTCTAAATCCTTCAAACCAGTTGCTCCGATTAACAGTTTCAAAACACTGCGAATCAAAGACTATCACAAGCCGTGGCGCTCAGCAAAAACCTTGCCTGAATTATGCGCGCGCATGTGCTTAGACCGTGAAAAAAGCCACATGCGTGTTTTAGCGGTTATGCCAAAGTATACCATCTGGGCCACTTGCGCGCGCATGTCGAAAACGTCAAAACCACCATCGCGCGCCCACCAACTCTGCCAAATAATACCATGCGGGCCAGACGCGCGCGCCCGCCGAGCGTCAAGATGCCAGAATTTCTGCGGGCACGTAATTCGTCATCGCCCTCAGCAGCACAATCGCTATCAACATCATCATCATCATCATCATCAGCAGCAGCAGCATCATCATCATCATCAGCAGCAGCGACAGCATCAGCTGCATCGTCATCATCATCACCATCATCATCAACATCATCAACGTCAAAATCAGCATCATCAGCATCATCATCGGCGTTGTCAACATCATCAGCATCATCATCATTGCCATCGTCATCATCAGCATCATTTGCAGCGTCGTCGTCATTCCCGCCGCCGCCATCATTATCATCGTCGATGTCGACGCCCCGTCTTCGTCAAATTTCTGCGCGCGGGCACTTCTTCTTCTTCATAACCATCTTCGTCGTCGTCATCACCATCATCATTAGCATCATCATCATCATCATCATCAACAGCACCATCGTCACCGTCATCGTCAGCGTCATCGTTGCCACCGTGGTTATCATCAACATCAGCACCATCACAAGCACCATCGTCGTAGTCGACATCGTGTTGTCCCCATCATCAATAGCAACACCACCGGCATCAGCGTTATCATCACTATCATTACCATCGTCCACGGCGTCGCGGACGTCACCATCGCCACCACCCTTGCGCGACATATACGCTTGACTTGTCTGCGCGGTTGAGTTCCACGAGCGCGAGAGCTCTTTGAGATCACGGCCAGATCACCTTTGCCAACACATTGCAGGTTGGAGTGTGTGATGTGTGCGCGAACATTGGAACTGCCGATTGCAAGTTCCTCAGGTGGACCTGCCGTTCTAAAGAACAACAATCTCTGCCAACGTCCCCCCCGGCCTTAACGACCCCCCCCCATTCCCCGAGCAGTACTTGCACTTAGGGGGTCTCTCTTCTGTTCAAAAGAAGTCGGCCTGCGGGTTGGTCTAGCGGTTCCGCGCGGGCCGTCGCAGCCCCGTCGCCGCCTCGTCGCGGCCGGTCATCGGGGCCTGCGGGCTGGTCTAACGGTTCCGTGCTCGCCGTCGCTGCCCCGTCGCCGCCCCGTCGCTGCCCAATCGCAATCGTTCGAACGCCCTTTGCGCGCGTGCTGGGGTGGCACGATCCGTGTCAAATAA